AAAATTTAAATATTAAAATAAGTAAAGTTGTAAAAGTAAACATAGCTACAGAAGTTGGGGAAGATAATGTAAAACAATTGAAGGAAAAAAGAAAAATAAAGCTTAGTTGTTTGATGTTCTTCATTCACAATGCATATTGTTTTATAAATTTCTCACAAACATAGAATTAGCTGAAACTAGCTGAGACTTGTTCACTGCTTTGCAAGGAGTTCTTATGCTAGATCTATGCTCATACATAACTTACACCTAGACCAGGATGCTGTTGTCTGAACAGAGTAAGAGAATACTGCATGTGTTCAGATCAAGAAGGTGTGTGTCAAGAAAGAAAGAAAGAAAAAAATTAAAATGAAAAATAGAAAGGCGTGTGTCACGGCTGTATCCTTTCTCCGTGCTTGTTCAGTCTATATGCTGAACAAATCATTCAAGAAACTAGACTGTGAAGAAAAATGTGGCATCAGTTGGAGGAAGACTCATCAACAATCTGTGTTATGCAGATGGCACAACCTTGCTGAAAATGAAAAGAACTTTAAACGCTGCAGAACATCAAGACTACAGCCTTTAATATGGATTATAGCTCAACTTCAAGAAGATAGAAATCCTTACCACTGGGTTGGTTTTCAACATCATGATAGATGGAGAAAAGATTGAAAAATTGTCATCTTACTTGGATCCCCATTTTAACACCAGCAGTCAAGAAATCAAAAGACACTACATTGGGAAAATCTGCTACATAGGGACCTCTTCAGAGCACTAAAGAAAAATTATGTCATTTTGAAGACAAGAGTACACATGATTCAAACTATTTTCAATCACTTGCTCTGCATCTGAGACCTTTGTCTCACATGCTTTGAGCTTGTTGTTAGAAGGGGCTAGGGAAAGAGAAGAAGACCCTCAATGAGATAGTTTGACATCATGACTGTAGCAATGAGCTCAAGTATGACAGATAATGCAGATAGCACAGGATAGAACATAGTTCAAATCTGTTGTTCCTAAGTTTGCTCAGTTGGACTCGGCTTGATGGCACGTAACAACCACCACCACACTCAACCTGGGACTTATTTACTTTTTATATGTTAAATATGTTGATTACTTCTGTATAAATATTATAAAACTATTCAGAATCAGAGATGACTTGATGTCAACGAACAACAATCATCTGATGAGAGAAACACAGATAAACAGATTTTATAACTTACATCTATAATTATGTGTGTGTGTGTGTGTGTGTGTGTGTGTGTAGTGAAACTACTGGGAAACAATACCAATCATGCTTGTGTGATGAAACCTCGATAAAAACTCTTGGCACTATAGCTTGGGTGAGCTTGCTAATTGGTAATCGACTTTGATCTATC